TTCCCCAATCGTACCCAAGTTCCTGATCTGAGGCAACTTTGGTGATGACGGACATGTGGCCTTTGGCACCGAGTCAGGGTTTCTTAAATTCCTCCATAAAAAATATTTAGGTGGCGATTTTGTATCTGGCAAAGCAGTCCATGTTTGGCACTTCTTTTCTAAAAATCTGTTTTCTCAAAACGATTTGCCGAATTTGGACTCTTTGGTTCAGATTAAGAACCGTGACAATTTGAGAGTCCTGAACTGTAGTGAACCCAAAACGAACAGAATGGGAGTCGTCCTCCCGGGGCGTTCGGGGACGTCTACAATATGATATGCAGGGGTGCACACCATAAGCTTTCCATTGTTAAGGATATCCATTTTTACTAACAATCTTACTAACACACTCACAAGTTTATGTGTGTCCTTGCCAAGTGATGGTAGATCTTATCAAAACTTGTGAGTGTTTTAAGCAAGGTCGGCTCTACCTTTTCCAAGGCCCAAAGCAAGCTTCTAATATGAGGCCTTTTATACATACATACATACATATATATATATATATACGTCCCAAAGCAAAATTCTAATATTAACTGATTTTTGAAGTATTTTTTGGCAGAATTGGACTAGTAAGTATTTCTAATTTTATTTAATTTTTTTTTTGAATTTTCACATTTTTAATTGTAAAATTACTAATCAAGTTTGTTTTAACCAACTTATCAATCAAATCCATTCAATCTTTCTTGTGACATACTTTACTAAATGTATATTTTAATCAATTTCAAATTTGAAACTCTTTTTTTTTTCCCCATAAACAATTGATTGTAAATAATAACTATAATAATATTCTATATACAATCCATACATTTGGAAAACATCCATCAATTGATTTTAAATAATTCATCATATCAATAAGATTTTTTGTTTTTTTAGTAGCCCTTTTGAACAAGTATAATAAAAAAAAAAAAAAAGAAGAAGAAGAAGAAGAAGATTAATTTGATATCTTTTTACATTTTTTGTGGCCATTTTTTCAACCTATTTCTGAGGGCCCAAAGTGACCGCTTGTGCCCAAAGTCAACGTTGGTTTTAGTAAGGTTGTTAATGGAAGTGTTAGTATCCCTAACATTGTCGATTAGAAACATCATTTTAATTCAATGGTAATCTAACCTAGAAAAGCATGGATACTTTAAAACAAGTGTCGTGTCTATGTGCCTATGTCCAACATGCATAAACGTCTACATGTTGCAGACATGTGTGCCCATGTGTTGGACATGCCACATGGTGTCTCATGTGTTTGGACACACCTCAAACCACATTTGTTGTGGGTGCTTGATGTTTGCTTTGTTGTAGCTTTTTTGTTGGTTTATTTCTTCTTTAGTGAATTTTTTATAAAAAAAATTTAATAAGTTTTGAATATTTAGATTTTACTTGACGAGACGAATCATAAAATTATTATTTTTAATATTTAAAAGAAAATTCATAAAAGATAAAAACAAATCAACAATAGTGAACTTTTATTAAATACTTATTTTGGGTTTTTTTTTGAATTTAAAAAAAAATTAAATTCGTCTATATAAGATGGAGCAAAAAAGTAAAAAAATTTAACATAATTTAAAAAAATACTAAAAATAAAAACATACAAAAAAGTAATATGATTTATTTAAAAATTTCCAAACAACCGCTATGTATGCCGTTCATTACCACTTAAAGCATCTCCAACCCAACAATTTTATTAAATGATGAAAAGCATCTCCAACCCAACACTTTTATTAATGATGAAAACGTATTTTTTTTATTTAAAATATAAATATAGAGTATCTCACTTATCACCTAAACTCTAACTATAAATCATCATTTTCTTCTCTAAAGACTTTTATCCAAATATTTTCATCAAAAAACTAACAATTTTGTTAATTAATAAATATTTAATTTTCAAATTTTTGTTAAATACATTTAATATTATACTCATTTTAAAAGTATGATTTCACTATTTTTAATGATACTAATTTTATAAAAATTAAATTTACATCCTAAAATTTATTTATAATATAATAAAAAATATATAATGAATTTTATTTTTCATTCTCTCTGTAAATATGGAGGATGAACCTATCCTCCTCCCAAATAAAGATGGATATAAAGGATGAATTAGAGGTGAAAATCCTTCAAAAATGAAGAAATGAAGAATGGATTGGAGATACTTTTAAGGATGATCAATATTATTTGGGCTTAGTTTCTCTCTAGTCCCAAATCAGACCAGAGAGATACTATTAGGTTCATTGGGCCTATTTTTTGGCTCTGTTATTTACATTTTAAGGTTTATCAAATATATTATCCTTACAAAAAATTAAGTCAACTAGTTTATACAAAATTGATCCACACACGTAGTTTTCATTATTTGATTGACTTAATTTTTTACAATAATAATATACTTAACGAATCTTAAAATATAAATGATTAAAATTATCAAAACAAAATTTAAAAATGAATCCAATGAACCAAAATGAATGGCACAGTTAGATAATAAACTGGAGACGCTCCAATCCCATATTATTTCACTTGTAAACCTATTGTAATTAGGTTATTGGGTGGAAGCGCCACGTGAACCACCAATAATTAATCAATGGTGGTGCTATACACATTAATTGATATATCAATTAGTATCAATATATGTTATGATATTATCATTTCAAATTATGACCTCGTATATTATACAAATTATAAAAATTTAAAATCTCTATAATTATGTCATATCATCTGTTAATATACTAATTAGTACACCAATTAATACATATAATTATGAAAAAAACTACATAGAGGTGAGAAAAAGAAAATATAATTATTAACACATGTGGAATGTAAGTTACAATTACACCCCCAAAATCTTTAATTTACACCCACCATAAACACACTTATCCTATCATGTACTAGTAATCTTTTTTTCTTTTTTCTTTTTTTGGACTTTCTGATCCTTTAAGTACCCCCTATCAGGGACGGATCCATGATTATGACTTTGGGAGGGCCAAAGTACGTTTAACCTCTAACTTATAAAATTTGAAGTTCAATACCAATTTCTATTAACATGAAAAAAAATCAATAATGTTATGATAAAATATTGAACTATATATTTATTGTCAACATAGTTGAGTATAAAAAGATGACCATACAATTGAGAATATTTTTTTAACCATATTCACTTACAAAAAGTAGTAATTATTTCTACATGCATTTATTTACTAAAATTAGGCATCTTCAATTGAGCTTGACGCTCTTTCATAATATCAAAAGCATGAATGATAGAGTTTACATCAAACCCTCGAGCAATATCTTTTTCAATATTAACTAATTCAAAAAAAAAAAATTCCAAATAATTTAAAAAATGGAGAGAGACTCTATATAATTTTAAAATTATCTAAAAAAATTTAAAGGTGCAAACTACTAAAATTTTAAATTATTTTAAAATTTCTAATATAATATATAATATTTTTCAAATTTTTAGTGGTGGGTCCGCCCCAAAATAAAACTTTACAAATCTTCATAGACATTTATTGTAATAAGGAGAAATATCTACTAGCATATTTTTTATTTTATTTTTGAAAATTCACATGAATTGAAATTTATTATTTATTGAGTATTACATTTTTAATGTTTTTAAAAATTAAATGAGACTAGTTATATTTTATTTGACATTGATATTTATTAGAGTATATTGGTTGATTTTTCAACAAATCAATAAATAATATGTAATAATACACATCGTTGCAAGTAAATTTAACAGTAATTTTTTGAGGGTTTTACACTCTCTTTTTTTATTGATTTGTCTGAATGAGTACAATATTATTATTGTTGTTGTTGTTGTTATTATTATTATTATTATTATTATTTGAAGAAATTATAAAAAATATAAAAAAATCTCATATAGTGATCCTTGTAATAAAATAAATTATGAATTTTTAATTTTATCAATTTAAACTTTAAAATTTTGATTTCTTTTTAATCTGAACAATTCATTTATTTTTGTTAGGTAAAACTCACAATTTTTTTTTAGTCATTAAACTCAATATAGATATACATAAAATGTCTAAACTATCATTTTCTATCAATTTACCAAACGAAAATAGGTCAATAGTTTAAATTAAAAACAAATAAAAAATTTAAATTTAAATTAATAAAATTAAAAATTCATAATTTATTTTGTTACAAAGAATGAATTTTGAGATTTTTATTTTATTTTATTTTTTTATAATTTCCCTTATTATTTTTGTTAATTTTCCTTAAAGTAATATAATGTTGACAGGTGTACTCAAACCAGAAACTAACTAATAGCAGCACACACCATCAAAAAAACAAAACAAAGAAATATTGGGCTATTTTGAAAAGTTGGCTTTTAGTCATATTTTTTGGTTTGTAACAAAAGCTAAAAATTGGCTTTTTTGTCTTTTTTTTATTTGGGAAGTTGATTTTTAGCCAACGGTGAAATTATAATTTTACCCTCATGGGTCAAAATGTGTTACATAGGTGAAGTTGTAAATATTTTAAATAAATAGAGATAATTTGGTCATTTTATTATGATTTGACATCATAAACAAACATTAATTAAAAAAGTCAAAAGTCACTTCTTATCAACTTTCCAAATTATTTATCTAAAAAAATCAAAAACTTAATTAAAAGTCAAAAAATTACTTTTTACCATCTTCTCAAAATAAGCCATCATGTTAAAAAAAAAACGCACAAAATTGTATCATTTTACTGCGCTGCAGTACCTACTGTACAGCAGGCACCCCTTTCCGGAGGCGGCCCAGATCCATCCTTGCCCCTATAATGAATGCAAAGATGGTACACGTCTGATTAAACTATCCAATAATTGCTCTCCACGTATTCAGTTCACTACGTGGAGCAATCTCATTTGTTCCAACCTTCACACCTTACGTGGCATGAAAGTTGATTCGGAGTTAGCAGAAGCGTCACATATTGATCCACACACTGCCATACACACAGACACCACAACACACACATGGGCTGAGGGGGGATTTATCGCATGACAGCTCTCTCTCCCTCTCTCACATACTCGACCCGAATTACTGGCAATAGACGGTTCGGATCCTCAGCCGGAGGCTCCGATCTCCGCCATCAGCAGCCGTGGCTCCGGCGGCGCAACAACAACGACAAAGCCTTTCTCGTCGAAAGCCATCATCTTCGTCGTCTAATCCGACTGTAATTTCTGGGCCGACTCGCATAGTCTATAGAGAAGCCCTAAACGAGTCTTCGGAGTTGGATCTCAACCTTCCCTTCTGGCAACGGACTTGGTTCATTGTACTACTCCTCATCATGGCCTTCTCTCTCTTCTTCCTCGCCATCTTCCTCTTCCTCACCCTCGACTCCGATTTCACCTCCCCTGTTTCCGCTGCTTCTGAGGGCGTCCAGGTAAATTTTGTTTTCTATTTATATTTGCACTTTGTGAAATTCGTGGTACGTGATGGTTTCATTGTTTTGTATAATAGGTTTTCATTTATTTTATTTTATTTTTAATTTTTTTTACGGATTGGTTGTTTTATTGGTTTAATTGTTGGATTCGTTGTAGCTCAGTGATTTGGGAGATCTATTTGTTTTCTATCTGGGTTTATTGAATTGTCAGAAAAGAAATGATTTGGTTTCTCAAGTGATTGAGATGAAATGAAATGATTATGGTTCATCACCATTATATTTGGATGAATGAAATTGAAGACAATCCTTATCTTGTTTGTTTGGATAGAGGAAATAAGAAGGGATAGAGGAAATAAGAAAAAAAAGAAAGAAAAGTTTTTTATTTTAGTGTTTTAGAAAACTTTTATTTAATTCAATTCTTTTTTCACCATATCTCACCAAAATGGTGGTGGGAAACAAAACAGAGTCATTTTCTAATCAGTGTCATTTGGCAATTGGGTTGGGTTGGGTTGTTTTTTTGCTAAATTAGTCACAAAAAGAAAATGTAAGTTAAAAAGTCAATAACACAAAATGTCACGTCTAAACCATAATCATTTCACTTTTAAATCCAAACGAACCTTTTAACCTGGGTTAAAATAACTAAAAAGCCAACCCAAATTCTTAAACGATACTTAAACCTAGGTTAAAATAACCAAAAAGCTAACCCAACTTCTCATACGATACTTATTAACCATCCAAATAAGTGAAGGGATTTTCTATTTTCATCATTTTTTTCTTTTCTTATCAAACCCCTCTATCCAAGCGGTGTTAGTGATTTGTGAGATTGGCTTAGTGATGAGAGGTCTCTTGCTCAACTAGTATGGAGACAAGTTTGTAGTTATTTTGGTATTTATTTGTCCCATACTTATTAACCATCCAAATAAGTGAAGGGATTTTCTATTTTCATCATTTTTTTCTTTTCTTATCAAACCCCTCTATCCAAGCGGTGTTAGTGATTTGTGAGATTGGCTTAGTGATGAGAGGTCTCTCGCTCAACTAGTATGGAGACAAGTTTGTAGTTATTTTGGTATTTATTTGTCCCCCATTATGTATGCAAGTAGTAGTGGAGTGATTGTTGGGCTAGGGTTTATTACGCTTTGTTCACTTTCTAGCTATTGTAGGTTACTAGTATGACTTTTTAGCTATTGCGGGTTAATAGTATGTTTCATTATTGATGATTTAATATTTCTCATATTTGTAATTACTCTCTTATCAATTGATAAAAAAAAAATTGTGAGATCACAATTTTACCTAATCTCAGTAGAAGTTCTAATTTGATATGAACCACTCCAATGGACAAACTCCTATTTGAGCATAAATTTGAATGAAAGCTTTCACCAAGAGCTTCTCTGATGCTTTAGCCAAATGGCTTGCGGCAACCTGAACCTTGATCCAAATTTGGCTCGAAGTTTGGCAAAGCCATTTCTCACCAAAACTCAGACTCTTTTTTCACAATTTTCACAAATCAGAACTCCAACAAAAATTTTAAAACTATAGAAAATCTACAAATTACAAAAATTCAATAGTATTAAAAAATATAATTATAATTACATAGGTTAATTACTCACAATTAATCATCTCAAGACCTACTACTCTCTATAGGGGAAACATTCACTCATCTCTAATGAGTAGTTAACTTCAATTCACTGCATCTACTACTTTAATGAAAATTTTGAAAGTTAGTTGAGTTTGGCACTTGGTTGTGCCAAAATAGAATGTCACCATTGGAGTGGTATAGCTAAAAAATGGCATATTTTATTATTTATTTATTTATTTTTGCACTATAGCAAGCCAAAAAATGGCTTTTGCCTTGCACCATTGGAGATGCTCTAATAATGGCAAAGTGATAAATTTGAGAGCTACAAAATATGGTCTTGAAAATTTTGAGTCTCCCTTAATTTGGGTAAAAATCTAGTAAATTAGGATAAGTCAGGTTTAAGTTTGATATAGGTTTGTCTAAGGATTGGTGATAGTATGAATGACTTTATGATATATATTTGGAGATATATGATATTCATCAGTCTTAGTCTGTCTGGGGTTATTTGATACTGGCAGATTACTTATGGTTCGGCCATCAAGCTAATGCACGAAAGGACAAAATTCCGGTTGCATTCACATGATGTGCCATATGGTTCTGGCAGTGGGCAGCAGTCGGTTACTGGCTTCCCCAATGTTGATGATTCCAATAGCTACTGGGTATGCCAATTATATTATTTTTTCTCTTATATTGTCCATCATTTCGTATTAATTAATTAAACTAAGTATTTTGGTTGTAATATAGATTAGAGATCAGCTTCAAAGTTTTAACATTTATTTGGTGACTTCTTTTTGGATTAGATTGTTAGGCCTGTGCCAGACACAGATGCTAAGCAAGGGGACGCAATCAAAAGTGGAACAATCATCCGATTGCAACATATGAGGTCAAGGAAATGGCTACATAGCCACTTGCATGCATCCCCAATTTCAGGAAATCTCGAGGTTGGCGAATTCTCTCTCTCCCAGTCCTTAAATTGTTAAACCGAAGCAATGATCCTTATCTTGATCGTCATTGTTACAATCTGTTTTCTTTTGCTGGACGTTATGCTATAATAGTATAGTTTCTTTTTTGTGTTGCAAAATTTTATTCTTTTTAGAAAGAAAAAAAAAAATTTACCAGAAAAATTAACTTATATGCAATTGCAGATTCATTGGCTTTACAAAAAAAAAAAAAAAAAAAAAGGCAACAAAATTAATTTAAACCCTAGTACCATTCATAACAGTAGTTGAAACCTAATGGGGTTTTACAACAAAATAAAACATTTAAAGGGGCAAATTGCAGGGAATTTTTTGAAATGCAAAAGGTGATTGGGGCATATACAAATTTTCAGAGTGCGCAAATTGAAAACTATTTTACAAATACCGGTTGAACATTATTTTTTATCAAACTGAGGGGGGAGAGCTGCCCCTTTTGGGCCTATGCTACCTGTCTCTGCCTTGAAGACTGAGTTGAGCTGTACTGTAATGTTTTGCAGGTAAGTTGCTTTGGAGGGGATGGCGAATCTGATACTGGGGATTATTGGAGGTGAGACCTACAAGTGACATGTTAAAAATAATATTCATGTATATTGGTTCCCTGCATGACATTGCTCACAGTTTTTCCTCATCAGACTTGAAATAGAGGGAAGTGGGAAATCTTGGAGGCAAGATCAAAGGATCAGGCTTCATCATGTGGACACTGGTGGTTACCTACACAGTCACGACAAGAAATACACCCGAATAGCTGGGGGTCAGCAAGAGGTAAAGTTAAAACCTGTAATGTCTTTGGGATTACAAACCAAGAAAGCCTTTGCTCACATTTGAAATGATCTTTACATACCTCCTTGGACTGTCCTAGGGTTGAGAACTTGATATGCATGTGTGTTCGAGCATTCAATCTGACATATACCTATTAGATTTCCATGGGCTTTTCCAAATACTAAAGTAGGCTTGTAATAACAATTTGTTTGTCTGTTGAATGTCTTTGTTACAACTTTCTTGTATACATTTTGCAGGTTTGTGGTGTACGAGAAAAGCGTACTGATAACATTTGGTTGGCCACAGAGGGTGTCTACCTCCCACTTACAGAAAGCAAGTAGAAGTCACCTAGGTTTCGGCATCCTTAAACAGTAGACATATGTTTTCAGTTTCTTAAAGGGCTTTTTGCTGGGTCATCTTAGCTGTACATGCTAATGATTTAATTCTCGAGCAACTGGTTTATTATAATTCTGGGTACAACTCATTTTAGTAGTTTATAATGGTTTTAGTATTTACTATTCAATGTATCGTGCATCGATCTGAATATGAATATGGTGCATCTCTGGTCATAAGAAAGTCACATTTCTTGTTCTGAACTGCCTACGGATATTCAACTTCAGACATATATTTTTTTTTTCTCTCCTCATTGACATTTGTTTATACATTTGTGGGGGAGCGAATCGGAAAAGAGGCAGGGTGGATAGGTTACTTGTTCAATTGCGGTCGAACTATAATGCCATAATTAATAATATATAATTATAAATTATAAATAGATATATATATATATATATATATATATAAGTACTGAAATAAAAATAAAAATTGTTGAATAGTATTTACTAATAATATTTAATTAAGGCATAAGTGATAAAAAAAAAAGAAAAAGAAAAAAGAAGCTATTAATTTTAAAGAAATTGAAAAAATTTATCACTCTCATCAGACAAATTGACTGAATGTTAGATTTAATTTTAAAGAGAAATGAAATTTCTAACTCTCTCAAATCAAATGTGATTCAAACTCTTTGAACAGTCTTTTCTTATAAAAAGAAATAGATTTTCATAATCTCTTAAAGTTTGTAATGAGACTCGTCCTCAACCGGCAGGTTTGTTGAAAACTGGGACCTGTTCACCAATTTTTTTGGTTCTCGCAAACAAGTTCGATTTTTAGCCTAATTCGGTTTATAAGACTCGTCCAAACTGGAAGTACGTCAGGTCACTGGTTCTACCAAACAAGTTCGATTTTTAGCCTAATTCGGTTTATAAGACTCGTCCAAACTGGAAGTACGTCAGGTCACTGGTTCTACCAATTGTACCGGCAATCCAGTCTAATTCTTTAAACATTGGATTTGGACATAGTACAACCCCTCCATCACAACAAAAATCTCATGGATACTTTTGCTAGATCCAAACAATGCCTCTTTTAAATTTGTGCCACAACACCTAGGGTCATGACCTAACTCACAAAATGGCCAATAATTAAGAATTACTCAGCTCTATACATTGTGGCAGAACTTGAGCACCACCATTCTGGCAATATTTTAGGATAGGGGAACAACGAAGGGATTGTGGTGGATTAATATTTTGTATCTAAACTTAATTACTTTTTCTTTTATTAATATAATCTGTTATAATAGTTCTCCAACAAAAAAAAAAAGTATAAATATACAACTGTCAAATGTCACTAACAACTAAACTGCCAAAGTTGCTAATCTTATTCTTTTCTATGATGCAGGCAAGTACTGTGATTCAATTTCATTCAATTCAACTCACCAAACTTATCCCACCACACTTGCAACATTTGAAAACAGATCATTGAATTCAACAGCAATTCAAATCAAAGAGTATTGCTCAACTCCAGGGGCAAATTAACATGAAATTAAGACACCAAAAACAGTGAGACCAAAAATATGACAACATCCACGACTTCTTTACTATAATCTGTTATAATAGTTCTCCAACAAGAAAAAAAAAAAAAAAGTATAAACATATAACTGTCAAATGTCACTAACAACTAAACTGCCAAAGTTGCTAATCTTATTCTTTTCTATGATGCAGACAAGTACTGTGATTCAATTTCATTCAATTCAACTCACCAAACTTATCCCACCACACTTGCAACATTTGAAAACAGATCATTGAATTCAACAGCAATTCAAATCAAAGAGTATTGCTCAACTCCAGGGGCAAATTAACATGAAATTAAGACGCCAAAAACAGTGAGACCAAAAATATGACAACATCCACGACTTCTTTATAAACTTATTGCCAAGTAGTTTCAACTAATACTTTCACAAAGGTAACCATAAACTGCAGCTATAAAATTTGGGAAAACAGATAGATGAAATAGATCTGTAAATTGAAGAAAAGTTTCATCCAATCTGACAGCAAAGGTAAATCCTGTGAATAAATTTCATATAGAAAACAAGATTTAGTCTGTATGAACTGGATGAGTTAAGTTCCGAAACAACATTAAACATATCATGTGCAACTTTTGGGGAACCACAAACAGAACCATTCATTAAAAACAAATCACTGTAATAAGCAAAATCTTTTATATTTCTAGAAATATTGGTGCTCGAAACATTTTTAAAAAAAATCCTAAAAACAATCTCTCAAACAACTAAGAGGGGCAAGGTACAGAAAACTAAAACTCAAGCCAAATCAAATAGTGATCCATTTCTGGTCACTCAATGAGATTTGATATACTCCTGAACAATATGGAGACCTTCAGTTTCTTCCCCATAATCCTGCATAGCAAAGCAAGGTAAGCTCGATGCTAAAAGGTATAAAAGTAAATAACTAGCATAATTCCTTTAGATTCATACCTTCACAACAACACAAGAGCAACCTACAACCTTCCTTGCCTTTCCCTCTGAATCAATCTTGCACAACTGCATGCGAAGAGCACGGTAAACAACTAAACAAAGCCGTCATAGCTTTACCGTTCACCAATGAAAAGTACGAGTTGATCATATGTGGTTAACAAACATTAGATGATAATTTTTAATTTTCACAGGACAACAAATGATGACCCTTTACTTCTTGTCGAAGATCTAATGCCAAAGTGAGTGATAGATATGATGTGTTTCGGTTCAGGATATCAATTGGTTGCATCACTAGTTCAAACTACCACACTGGGCTACTATTTAACTTATTTCAGCAAAACCAACAAATAGATTTAAAACCAAAGTCAGCATATCAGACAATTTGTAAAAAAATGGAGGGTGCAAAGAATTGGTTGCCTCACATGATCTTTAGCAATTTCGCAAGGGAAAAAATGCATTTCAGAAATATTGCCATCTTTCCCAATTTCGTAGAAGCCTTATCAGAAATAATCCCAATTTCGTACTTCTTTTTCAAGTATTAGTTATTCCTAGCAACCCACAAATCCATTCCAACTTTATCATCCTTTTAAATCAAGAGCAAGGTGGTGACAGAGGAATTATCATTCTGATAGTAAAAAAATTCAAAAGAGAACTGCAAATTTCCATAAGAAAATCAAATCTAGCAAAGGCACGAAAGAAACAATCAGCAGAAATATTACAAGAGAGACCAAAAGAAATAATGATTGTTAAAAACAGTTAAAGCAGTACTAGATTTTTACTTACACCAGCCCACTCGCCAAGAGTCTTAGCACTTGGAACTGTTATCAAGCTCACATTGTGGTCAGCACAAAGTGCTTTCACAAGTTTGACGTAATCCGGCTGGTTGCAGTCCTCTGCCAAAACACAGAGCTGTCCAGCATGCTTCTCGATCACCTTGGCACCTTCGTGAAGTCCTCGAGCAAGCCCACCATGAGCCAATGATTTCCTCAACACAAGCTGCAAGGCAGTCATGATGTCCATAGGCTCACCGAGAGCTGGAGCAGGTGCAGGTGCAGGTGCCTCAGCTGCAACAACACCCTCTTCCCTGCAAAAGAAATTGATTGAAAAGAATGAATAACAATAACAAAAAGAGAAGGCAGCATGTACTCTGAAACTGCTACCATATCCTACTATAAATTAAAGATGCTCTTTGTTAGGTTCCTGCTTGCAGAAGAAAGAAGAACAATCTTAAGAAGTGAAAATAGCATACCCTGACATTTTTCTTCTCCTTTCAAAATCCTTCTATCTCCAAACTGCTGCGAAAAAAAAACACACAAGGCAGTAAAGCAAATCAGCCATGAAGCAAAAAAAATTTAAGAACTCAGATCCCATACATCAAAAAACACATATACAATGAAATTTTCAGAAGCCAATATTAATTTTCGAAACATGAGACTACATTCGAAGATGTTTCAGGTACAATTACAAAAACAAATAAACATATTTCCACTGACCAGGTCATTATCACCAACTCCCAAAGACAAGACTAGTTGATATTTTCCCAAAAGAAGAGAATAATAGAAATGGGCACCCTATGATATACATTTCTCTCTAACCTAATCTGATGAACCCATGAATCAGCATAGCATAGGACCTAGCTTCACAACATCTTTAACCGTTGTGTTTTTCTAGTTTCCTTTTACATAGCAATATAGCATCCTCAGCTAGTACAACCATGCAGAATGTCTTGTTAGTCTAGACTTTTGGCTTCACTCTTCATATTTCTCAATTCGTTCAATTCACAATATCTACATTGACTAGTTTTTGGAAATATAAATGCTTAACGACCTTAAAACTAGGATTCAACAATCATAACGGTTCTCTTTTCTATTTTTTTTCTTTTTTTTTTTTTGTGAGTATCATTTTTAGTGAAACAAGAATCAGCTGATCTAAGTTGACATTAGAGTTCCACAGAACTCTCTTGTACCAAGCTTCAAGCACAAATTATATTATTTCCAGATTTAAATTTGTTGATAATACACAAAGTGAATTTTCTCACATTCTAGCAATGAAAACCGATCGACAATCACTGAGGTCATAAAAATTATCTACAGCTTCGTCCAAAAAAACAAAAAAAAACTGATATCGCTCTGAAGCTATTCAAAGTCGCATTTTTGTTCAGTTCAAATCATCGCATATCATAAAAGTTATATAGAAACAACAGCGAAACAATCTTAGTGGATATTAAACATAAAACTATGTGATAAGCAATCCAGATCTTCAAGACAATCGACGCATTAAGGAAAATTAATTCAAAAGCATCAAATACAGTTTTAGAGAGAGAGAGAGAGAGAGAGTAGGAGTACCTGATGCCGATAAAGTGGTTTGGAGAACTCGAGCTGCTCTCTCTGTCTGCGAAGGAAATGGAAACGACGATGAAAGCTTGCGCAGACTTTATATGGCAAAACCTAAAACCCTAGGGCTTTCTGTACGAATTTACCGAAATGTCCTCTTCTGTGAATATAACCTCCAGCCCATAGGCCCAATCCTACTTTTCCTAATAATTTCTTTGACAATAATGGGCCAAGCTTTGTCAATCGAAGCCCAACCATGTCAAGTAGAACCCAAAAAACAAAGCTAAGGATACAGAAGAAACAGACACCTACACTCCGTTTGGATGAAGTCATTTGATGGAAAATGATAATATATATATATACTAGTGTATGTTCATACTTGAAGGTACGGTGTAAATAATGTTGTGATCAAAATACAGTTGTGATTCATATGTATCATATTAAAATTTTTAAAGTCTGTAATATTTTTCAACAAAAATATTGAAAAAATAAAAAAAATACTATTCTTTTTAAAAAAATTGTAACAATTTTACTTATATCATACGCTGTATAAAACTCGAATAAAATAACAACGAAATAACCCAAAACTCCGGTGATGCAGCCCACAGAGAAGCACCGAAATACTCCCACTATTGGCAAAAAAATAATTATTCTGTTGTTTATACCCATTGATATATATATATTACCAAATAAATAATTATTATGTTGTTTAAGAATTTCAATTTAGTAGTTTGTCCAATAAACAATAAAAGCTAAATAAATTAAGATTCTAAAAATAAAAATAATAGTAAATACAGTATTGTGATTTTCCAAAAGTCGTGGAATTTTTGAATCCCCTTCCCTGGTTGGTGGTTGGTCACCGAAAGCTTTTTTTATCAAATTTATTGACTTAAAATAAATTTTGTAGATTTAAAATGTAATTTATCAAATTTATTGACTTTGAAATGAATTTTGTAAAAATACCCAAACATAAATATACAGCCCAATAAAATTAAAGTAAAAATTGAAAAATATAATTTATTATAAGAATTTGAAGTCAAAATTCTATTAATAAAAAAACTCTTCTTTTCAATTTTTGAACAAATCACACCACTCCCATTATTTCTTCTCTTTCTCAAAATTCACTTTTATGATCATTTTTTAACATAACCCCAAAAAAAAAAAACATTTTCTACGTAAACATAACTCATAAACTCAATTTAAACTCAATTTTTATACAAATTTAAATTCACCATTTTTTTAACAGAACTCAATTTAAACTCCATTTAAATTTTGAGTTTAAATTTATCCACCAAGAAAAACCAACATTTTCTACAAACATTTTCCAAAAAGAGGGGATTTAAAAAAAATAAAAATAAAAAATAAACCCACTTTTTTTTTGTGTGGTGTTGTGTCGAGTGACCCCTAACCTCCACTCATTCTCCCTCTCCATCTTCTCCACTTTCACCGTCCGTCATCGACCCGATGGCTATTCTCACCAAACCTCTTGTTTCGTTTGAAAAGTTGGATTGGTTTTAAAGTTTTTTGAATTTTTTGAATTATTTTAGTGTAGATTAAAAAGTTTGTTTGAGTTGTTTTTTAAAATTTTTATGAAAAAAAAATTATAATTTAAATATGACATTTTATTTTATTAAAAATTTAATTTATTTTATTTTTATGACTAATTTAATAAATAAAAAAACAAATCAACACAACCCACCAAAACCGCCACTACCTCTCTCTCTATCTATCTCTCACTACCATCATCCTCTCCATCCTTTGTTTTCTAAACAATACAAACAAATACATGTATTATGTATGTATATACATAAATTATATAATGGCAGCCTTCATAATAATGAAATCGTGATGCTGCCAAGCCTTCATGGCCGGTAACATGGGAGATAATGGCAGCAACGTCATGGATAAGATATCCACCAATCTTAAAAGAGGTATAAAAGAGGTATAAAAGACATCATAAGATGGAAATGAAACATGACTATTACTTGCGCTTTCTCTCTATTTTTGGTGGTTCAAGCCAATTATCACTGACAATTTTCTTAAAGTCCAACTTGTTGTCATCCTTCATCAAAATTAAACAAAGAATGAAAAAAAATAAATAGAAATCTACTTTAAACAACATTAACCAAATGATAAACAAATTGCGGATCGAATCGCGAATCATGATATTTTGATAATAGAAGTCCAGAGTAATAGCCGAACATGTGCAAGAATGGTATGTACCTTTCTATCATCAAAATCATATAGATCAGCAGCTGCAAAAACCCAGACAGGTTGCACTTAGCCTCAGTTGCAAAAGCATAAAGTAAAAAAATGTTTAATAAATAAATCTTGATATCAATCTACATACTATCATCCATTTTGAATTTGATTGCATCTTCATCAAACTTCTTCATCTTAGCATCAAGCTCAGCTATTGCCTCTTCTCCTTTAGCAATGATCCGATCTATATCCTCATCGATAATTGTGCTATCCTTAGAACTGAAAACCATTTCAGCACCAAACCTCACCATTTGCAGCAGCTCATCTTTGTTAACAGCTGCCAAAACAAATTAAAAAATAATCAATAAACTATCAAAGTATTTTACTCACATTAATTTGAATATAAATTCATGATAAGGTAAACTCTACAAAAACAACCTACTCTTTTGTTCTGCTAATCGCCCTTGTTGGATCACCAAAGCATCAAGAGCAAGCTTTTTATAAGCCCTCTCAATCACCTTTTCATCACTCTGCTCCTCCTCTGTTTTTTAAACAATACAAACAAATACATGAATTATGTATGTATATAATAAATAGAATAGAGGAGGAGCAGAGAGATGAAAGGACTCCTCTACAGATTTTGCCCCAAAGCCCACAACAAAACTTGCTTGATTTGCAGAGAGAGAAACCAAAGGACAACAGAGGAGTCGACCAAACACAACATAAGTGCACCTGTTACATATAATATCGTCTTCTCTCTCCGAGACATTCTAAATAAAAGCAGAAAGTTGTATGTAATGGGGGCACTATGCTAGTGCTTCCATCACGTGTAATATCATTTTTTCTCTCTAGGGCATTCTAGATAAAATCAGAATGGGTAAAAACATCATTTTCAAAACAGAATAATTAGAGTTCTATCCATTCATGGTTTAGGCAATTATCACATTTCAGTAATAGACAACTCTTCTATGTGCAAATATCATCCCAAAATCTACCAACACTCGTCTAATCTTTTTCATGACGAACTAAAATCAATTCCCTTGTAAGAGTTTCACTATCTCAATCACAAAATTAAAGATGATCAATACATAAAGAAATTTAACAGATGAGCATTAATTTTGTGATTTACTGCTAAAACTCAATAGGAAGAACTGCACTTCTAGATCCCCGTCCATGTCCGAAGGGAAAGAACTGTCTTCGGACTCTGCTGCTAGACTCTTCACTCTGTCTAACCTCATTGCAACACCGATTATGTCGTATAATCTCTTGAACTGCCAAGTAAACGTTTGGATCACTTGCCGAATCCATTGAGAAAGATCTCTTGATGGGTTTGACAGAGAACTCATCCTCTTCCTCTCTTCTTACATCAATGCACTCATCACCCATGATTGAAACATGTTGAAACTTTCTTGGCTTCGCCTTCCCAATCTTCTTCTCAAACTTTCATGGCGAATGTCGACTCCTTTGTTGCCTCAAGTCATTTTTTTCTGTTCTATCAGCTCCAGACAATTCAATAACCACAAAATCTTCATTACCACCCAAATGGGTATCCACAAAATCTTCAATAACCCATTTGAATAGTGAAATAGAAACCCATTTGCTGGAGGTTGCACAACCAAAACTATCCAGAACCGAAACCAGAGAGCTGGACAGAGGGATGGAGAAGGTTTAAAATCAAGGATGAGGAGAGAGAGAGGGGTAGGTGGGCGGCCTTTCAAAGATGCGGGAGAGAGAGAACAATGTTTGGGCGGGAACTAAGTTTTTGTTTTATTTGAGAGGATTGATCTCAGCCATTGATATCAACTTGGGATTAATCTCAGCTATTGGATCAAAATATATCTCACATACATTTTATATATTTTCAAAAACCTTCTTCCTTTATTATATAGATTTGCTGCCCTCCAAGCTCTGCATCTTCTGACTCGTCCAGCCAGTCAATCTTCAAACAATGTTCCGCATGACCTCTTTACCGTGCCGATATCTTCTTCTTCATTTGAGCAGATCTTTTCCTTCTAGTAAGAAAGAGAGCAGATCTTTTCCTTCTAGTATAATGAAACAGAGCAGTGGCCTGTGACTACAGATTATTCTCAAAGTGTGAAAAAAACTTTTAGCCTCAAAAAGTAGCTGGTTAGCCCATTGATTTAAAAAAATAATAATAATAAAAAAAACAAAAGCAGTGGCTGGGACGGCCTACACTGTCACCAACACTGACTACCATCTCACAGCAGTTAAATGATTATTTTGTGGCTGTAAATTAATTTTGAAAAAAATAAAGTTAGGGATAAAGGCACGGTGTATGCCCGTGCCTAAAGGCACGGTGTAAATAATATTAAGATTAAAATGCAGTTCTAAAAATATATTTAACAGACTATACTCTACGACAATTGTTTAAAGCCCTTTAGCGACAATTGTTTAAAGCTGAATTCAAGTTATTAATTTAGAAAATAAACACACATGTTTCAAGTTGTATGCATATGAATAAGTTGATTGAGTTGATTATATGGTTTTTCATATATTAAATTCAATATCTATCCGAGATAAGAATTAAATTCATCAATCTCAACCACAACCGAGTGGTCAAAACCACCTCCATCGTATTCTACTAATTAGGTCGGTTCTTCAAGTAATCCCAACACTATTTAAATTTATTTTTTAATTTGATAAAATTACAAATTTAATCCCAACACTATTTAAATTTGTTTTTTAATCCCAATACTATTTAAATTTATTATAAATTTAATCCCAACACTATTTAAATTTATTTTTTAATTTGATAAAATTAAATTTATAATCCCAACACTATTTAAATTTAAATTTAATCCCAACCAAAAAAATTGAAGCAAGGAAGAGCTACATCAAAAAAATTGAAGCAAGGAAGAGCTACATCAAAAAAATTGAAGCAAGGAAGAGCTACATCAAAAAAATT